TCAGAAGCAGGGACTCTGCGTGGTGCTGCGATGTGGATACCGATCAACGGACACTGCTGATAGGACAGAGCTGGCAGCAAGGAGATGACGCAAAAAATTGCAGATTCGCCCAGCCGCCTATAAATCCCATCAGGGGATAGCTGTTGCAAGACCACAAGATGGACATGCACACGCAAATAAAAAAAAAAAAAAAAAAAAAAAAAAAAGAGGGGGGTGTCCCACTGGGCGGGGTACTAATTGGGGTTGGGTGCTAGGACATGCAATGCAGTATGGGAAGGCATGAAAAAAACCTCCCTCATAAACAGAACGATCCGAAGTAGACAAAAGAAAAGAACAACTCACCGTTGAGCATATCAATATATTTCACATTATCTCCACCAGCCGAAATTGGCGTCGTTGTGTCCGGACTATTTCGCATATCGGTTCCTTCACTTCCTTCCGCGGTCTCGTACTTCACGGGAATCTCGACGGGCAGCTCGCCCACAGGATCGAAGTCGAGGAATTCCGCATTGGTGAACAGAGCCAATTCCGCGTCTACATCGAACAAAGTCTGCTGCTGCTCCTGCTCCTGCAGTGCCTGGTCATAGGGGGACGGAATGGTGTTGAGGTCGTTTAGGTACTGCGAGAAATTTGGCGCTCGGCGCCCGCTGTAGCCTGACATGGCTCTTCTTTTCGCAACGGATCGAGCCCCCGGAAGGGATAATATATGAAAGTCCCCAGCACGATAGATTTGTCACTTTTTCAAATTATTCTACTTGTTTCGATGTTGCAATGCGGTTGAAGATCTGAGATGAGATTGTAACGGATCACGCTGAGACGGCAAACAGGGAATGGAAAGCTTGTGTAGTTTTAACGAGAGGGGACGACTATATGTAGTATGGGCTTAGCGAGAGAGGAGGTCCGTGTGATATGGCGAGTGCAGATAGCGGGGGATGGTACTGCTGCGCCGAAGATGCCTGGCTGGCTCGCTGTCAAGAGACGGTATGGTATGCCTTGGGAGAAAGAGGGCGATTGGGTGCGGAGGGGTTAGGCGAGAGAAGGCGGGAGAGGACTCGGGAGTTGGAGGTGGGCGGGTTGGCGGTTTTGCCTCGTCCTTTGTGCGGCGGCGAGACCCGGGCTGGCCCCAGCAAAGTTTTCGCGTGGGAAAGACGGCTGACTAATGGCCGTTGACTCGCAAACCCCCGCTGGCTTGGCGCCCGGCTTGGCTCACGGCAAAGGTACTTCGGCCGTTACCACGAAGATTACGTTTGTGGCAGACCGGTTCAAAGATCACGGAGTTGGTTGGTTGTTTGTTTGTTTCTTGGTGCCAATTGCAGGGACGGCTCTGGGTGTGGATGTACTGTTCGTATTGTGCCTGGTCCTTTCATGTTCAGCCAAGGGGTTCGGGGCATTCGAATCAGTTCGTTCTATCCTCATCAGCATGTGAAGGGGAGCATCATTTCTGCATGAATTAGCAGTAACATCCTAACATCCTCTTCATGGAAAGCGAGTAAGATTCCATGCAATAACCGGATGTGGAAAAGCTGCAGACACTGTTTCTGGCTTTGGCAAATCCCGGGTATCAGTGAGACTATGGAAGGTTATTTCATCCCAAACAACCATTCTCCCCGTACTCAGTACATTCAAAGCTAAACCTCTGTCCATATCTCAATCACAGCATATTATAATAAAATATGTAGGTAATTTAAAATCCCCTATTGAATTCATCTATTTTAACATATATGTTTTTTCTAGAAATTTATATCATATGATATGTATTACGTATGTAAAGATCAAGGATATTTTCTTAACTATATAAAAGTTACATAAAATGTATTCAGATTTCTAGTTTTCGTTTTTTTTTTTTTTTCTGATTTCTATGAGAAAAATATGCTTATGTGTAATATGATCTAACTTGAATTTAGATTAAAAACTTAAATATTCTGAAAAATATTAATTATACATTGCCGATAACACCGTTGATCTGAATACATCTCTCATAATTTGTAATCCTAACTCTAAGGGCCTGTTCAGTGTGGCCGTGTGTACTCATTCTTTTTGTACAGATCTCCACTTTTTTTAAAAAGTACAGCTAAATATGATGATCATTTAATGAGCAGAGTGACTGTACTAATATTACAGCTTCTTTTTATAAAGTATGAATGAAAAAGATCAGATGTTCAGTGAATTAAATAACTGTACTTACATATTTCACTAAAATTATATAAATAAGCAGTATTTAACTTCAATAGTGTGTGGCAGTGTAGAATAATATAGAATAGCATTCATAATGAAGATAGTTAATTAATATTAATTAAAAAGAAACTTGTAAAAATACATTCTTTTTAAATGAAGTTCAAAATTAATTTAAAAAGAACATGTTTTTACAAACTTCTTTCTTCATCATATAAAAAATTGATCAGTGAAAATCAATATGAAAAATAATCAATAATAAACTGATGAGATGAATAAAAAGATTTTATAAATTGCAATTTCACAGTATATTAATTTTCATCAACAATTGTTTATTAAAATAGTTATAAATTTAATGATGAAAACCTCTTTAATATCATAAAAAAAATATTATATGAAAGATCTTTTATTAATATTTTATATACTGCTCAGCTGCTGAAATCAAATACTCATTTTAATCATATTAAAAATGTCACTCATTTTTATTGAAAAACATTTATGCAATTTATTATTCTTTTCAAAAAATATATAATTATATCTGAATTTGATGTTACAAATGTGATGAAGATGAAAGAAAAAGCAATGATATTTCTTTATATTATTATACAAGAATTTTTATATTGAAATGCTGTGAAAAAATTTATGTATTTATTTGATACAATTTCAAAGTAAAAATTAACTTCTCATATAATCATCATATGATTTTTATTATTTTGAAAATACTCATTCATTTTATATAGAGTATTTCATGAGATGTTGAAAGCATTTTGTATGCTTTACAACCAGCTTATATAATGTCAAAACCTTTTATAAAATATAATGAAGATTTGCTCAATGACAATTCTAAGCAGTGATCATTTTTTAGAGATTATATTGAAGTTTTAGATAATACTCATATTTCAATATTTATTTTTTCTAATCAGCAATTTAATTGATGAAATTGAAAAAAATAAATCTCACAAAATGTTTTGACAATATGTGATTTTGAAATGAATTTTATATATATATATTCTTAAATAAAAGATTCTGCTTATAATATATATGTTTTTAATCTAATTTAAAAATATAATAACTTTTCAATAGAGAAACTCTGCTATTTTCTTGCAGATATTGATTGTTTTAAAAAATTTTCATAATATTAATTTCTTATTCTAATATATGATATCATTTCAAAAAACTTGAAAATGGAGATAAATAATCTGTTATTAAGAAAAATTTGTTCAATCTTTAGTATGTTAATTTACAGAGGTAATTGAATGAGTTTTCAAAGTATTTAAATGATAATTTTAAATATACAATCGAAGAAAAGATGAATTCTTCATTACTATTCAAATCAATCTTATTTTCACATTGATAGCACTTCATAACCCCGGTGGCTGAATGGGTAATGCGGCCACTAAGTAGCGCCTTGGCATGGGGACTCAAAGTGTGTGGGTTTGAAATTCACAAGGAAACAACATTACATTTAGAGTTAACTTCTCAGCTTCTAAAATAAAGGAATGTGAATTTGTCAAGTAGATATCTTTGAATAGATCTACTATCTGATTTAGCTTATTGTTTCTGAGTTGAAAATCTGTATTGTAAGTATCAAATTCTGTTTTTCATTAATTTTTCTATGTTTTTATTATATTCTTGACATTATTTAACACTAAGCATTCCTTCTGTATAATTAACTCTTGCCTGTATTTAACATTACACAAGGACTCGTCATAAGCACTGCTTGCATACGAGTATAACGGAAGAATAATAATAATAATAACTTTATAACTTCATAAATAAATATGAAAATTTAAATGATACTAATCTAAAGAATTTAAATGATGAAATGAAGTTAAAACAATGGAATATAATAAATGAAAGAGAGAATGATGATGAAATAATTAGAAAAAGAGGTTAAATTGCAAAGAAAATATAAAAGTTTTATAAAAAATATATTAAATATATAGAAGATTAATCAGCAAATCATATATAATTAATATATGAATCAAAATTGCTTATATGTATTTTAATAAAAATAATTGAATTCTAAATATAATTCCACTTTCAAAAATATAAAATGGTAATATATTAATGTATTCATTGTATATTATATCACAATATAATTTATAAGCTAATAAAATGTTTTAAATTATCTAACCATCACACATAAAAAATTGTGATGTTTTAAAACAAGTGTTTGTAAGTGTAATTCATCATTATTTATAATATTGAGTAAAATTCAGTGATGTTTTTAAATATTTTGAAAGAAATAAAATATAAAAAATAATTTAAAAATGTTATTATTATTATTACTTCTGTCACTATTTCTATCATTACTTATATTATTATTTTTTTCATCATTTTTTTTATTAATCTCATTGCAGCATCTATCACATCTGCTGTATTGATGACATTTCATTCAACATCTGCATAATATGATTTTATTGAACATTGATTGAATTATATTTCAAATTTAGATACAGCTGAGCTTCTTGAATGTTGAGAAAATAGTATAAAATTATAATATATTGTTGATAAGAAATCTCATTGTGAATTTTTCAAGGTTCTGAAATTAAATTCTGCATTTCATTTATAAATAAGTGG